CAAACGTGTGTCTCGTCGTGTGCCATCACTATAAGGGATTAGAGTACACTAAACTTTACACATTATATAGGCTACACTGACGTGACATTTTTTTTGGGGGGGTGGGTGGTTAATGAAAGTGTTTACAAAACGCGACATTAATTTCTTGACGACCTAATACTTTACTGGCGAAACTATGGTAATAATATGAGAAATATATTTGAAACATACAGTTGTCTTTGTTTTCTTCATTTCTGCAATTATAGAGTTTCTCCAAGTACCGACGGTTTCAAGTATTAAGGGTCCATAAGAAATATAGTATTTTTAGCTTAAAGTTTGTGCTGAAAACAACAATATTATGACTAACAAAAACCATACGCTCAAGTATAGTACTATCATAATTTTCCTATTGAAGTAAAACAAAATTTCAATTTATCAACATACTTATACAATGAACAGCCCCCCCCAAATGGGTCAGCGATAATTTTTTTTAGGACTTACAACGCTAAAATAGGATTTGATTCCTCATGGTGGGCAGAGCTCAGATAACCCATTGTGTAGCTTTTCGCTAAAAACAAACAAACAAGAATTATGAAATGAGTCATATATATATACTTATTTTAAATTTCGTCGAATTACATGATTTTTTTAAATCTAAAAGTTAAAGAAGCAGTGTTTGTTAGAAAATAATTTATAATCAAACTTAATAAATTGCATGTTTAATTTTATAACTGATCAATCTATTGTAAGAAACAAAACAAAGGAAGGGATATTTGATTTGTTTTGTGAACTAATAGGCCTAAAATTTCGGATATATAATCACGTTAATTGCAGTTGTTTTTTTTTTCAACATTCATCTTAATTAGTCCATTGCCGATTCAAAATCAGCGGTTTGTATAAATAACATTTCAGACCTGTTTTTTTTTTTGCCTTTCATAATTCACTGCCCAAGAGGCCTTTTGTTATATCAGAACACGTTAATTGGGCTGGACAATTAGAAACAAAAGATTCGCTGAAACGATATCTTTATATGCAGTATCATACTTTAAAAATCACGTAATTAATAGATTAAGAAAAATATGAAAAATTACAGATTGTTAACATGATTTTTATTACAAATTTTAGGCCTATTGTTTTCAATGCTTCTACAGTTCTCAGCGTTTGAAACGTAACCTTTATTCTGGGAGACAGGAATTGTAAGTATTACATTATTTTAAATGTCAAATTGTAATAGGTCGGATAATTATATATTTATATATTCTTAATATAATGCATTACACACACTCAAAAATATGTACTATATTTGTATTAATATTTATTTTTTCACCAACAATATTTTAATATGTAAAAAAAAAAGCTATTCCTCCTATTTCACAATTCATCATGTTTGTTTGTACTCATTGTTGATTATATTTGATGAAGATGTATTGTAATTTTTCTGAAGAATTATAAAAAAATTAAATCATTTTAGTGTTAGAAATATCTTAGGCAATGTTCATGAAATAACAAATATTAACAGAGTTTTTGTAAATATGTGTTTTGTTTGTTGAAAAGAATAAAGAATTAAGAAGGGTAAAAATATATTTTTTTATTATATTCGATATTTAATTTTTTCAGGTAGGATATAATACATTTTGGGTGAAATACTAAATCAAATTTATTATTTTGTTATTTGATTTTGATATCTTAGAGTAATTAGTTTCTTTGGTTTTTATTTAACTACAATTCTTTTAACCACAAATTCGCTGCTGTGGCTGTGATGCAATCATCCATGGTATGAACCATCGAAACTAAGAATAAGTCATTGGTAAAAAATAATTTTTTAGGATTGCATCAGTTTTTGTAACATTTCTATATAATCATTTAATGTTTCTTTTTAGCATTTTATTGAACATAGCCCACTTTGTCGAGCTAATATTTCAAATCAAACCGAAAAAGTTAATAGTTGGTCACGATTTATCTATTGCTCAGTTTAACTAAATTCATTACATCGATCGTTTAAAGGCATGGCGTGATGTGGGGATTAACTTACTCAGACTGTGAATCTAAATACAAATACAAATATCTCTGTCCTTTCTCTCCTAGTATTTCTCATCAGAAACTCATAAATACAAGACAATATTTCATACCAAAATGCACATAACTGTATCCAAAGATCACGAGTTCAATAACAGATGTAAAATTAATATAAACTACATTGAAAACTTATCGGTATAAATTTATTTTCATGTAATTCGATTTTCCGATAAATAATGTAAGTTTAAGTTAAAAAGCACTTATTATAACTCAGATACATCTTTTGCAATTTTTGATGCTGCCATCTGTCGGTTTTATTATACACTAAAGCATAAAAACATTAAGGAGGCATTATTGGTGTTTAGCATTGTTAAATAGACTTATAGACGTAACTACTCTAATATAAAGGGGGAGTATAAATTTTTAGTGGATTTGTTTGATTGCTTGTTTTGTAGTTAAGCATAAAGCTACACAACGGGCTATCTATGTTCAGCCCACCACGAGTACCGAAAGTCTTATTTTGTTTTCCTAATGATGTGACATTTTTGGGGTACTCCTAGTGGTACTTGTGGAAGTATGAAACTCTTGTTTTGTTTTCCTAATGATGTGACATCTTTTGGGTACTCCTAGTGGCACTTGGAGAAGTCTGAAACTCTTGTTTTGTTTTCCTAATAATGTGATGTCGTTTGGGTACTGCTAGTGGTACTTGGGGAAGTCTGAAACTCTTGTTTTCTTTTCCTAATGATGTGACATCTTTAGGGTACTCCTGGTGGCACTTGGAGAAGTCTGAAACTCTTGTATTCTTTTCCTAATGATGTGACATCTTTTGGGTACTCCTAGTGGCACTTGGAGAAGTCTGAAACTCTTGTATTATTTTCCTAATGATGTGACATCTTTTGGGTACTCCTAGTAGCACTTGGAGAAGTCTGAAACTCTTGTTTTGTTTTCCTAATAATGTGATGTCGTTTGGGTACTCCTAGTGGTACTTGGGGAAGTCTGAAACTCTTGTTTTCTTTTCCTAATGATGTGACATCTTTTGCAACTTCTATTCATGCTTAGAGAAGTCTGAAATGCATATTCTAATTCTCTGTTAATGGGGCTTGCCTGCTGATGTGGCATTTTGGGGAACTTCTATTATTAATGAGAAAAGTCTGACATTTTTATTTTCCTTATCTTTTAATGAATATTGTCTGATGATGTAACATTTTTGGGAACTCTTCATGGAGTTTAATATTGTAATATATTTTAAAGCAAAGTTAGTTTTTGACGTTTGTCCAATAATCTGTGCAATAGAAAAATCCAACAAACAAGAAACAGAGGGAGGACAGATAATTAATACCACCTACCGTCAACTTTAGGGATACTAGAATTAAATAGTGATTGGACTGCCACTCTTATAACACACCCACGACCCAAAAGTACGGAACACTCATCATGTACCCTAGGATTAAAAATCCAACACGCTAACCGCTAGACTAGATCATGCCCTGCCTTAAACAAGAAATATTTTAGTGCAGATACTCCAAGTATTCAAACCTATAACTGATCACAAACCAGCTGATATTATTGTTTTAAAGTAAAGCGTTTTTCTCCGTTAAACATATTCTGTCAGTCTTTGTCATTTATGGCCAAGTCGAACTTTATCACAATTCGAATGAAAAATCCTACCGAGCCTCCCGTTATTATGTTATGGTAACCTAGAATACCACAATGACACCAGTCGCATATTAGTTTAATTTTTACATAAGTGGAAAGACCTAAGTAAAAAAAAAACAACAAAAACCTCCTATCTTGAATGAACTACACCGAAAACAAATCTGACGTTCTAAAAGAGCTCAAAAATACTTTTACGAACCTTTTTCTTTCTAGTGATAAAAATATTCTAATCCTGACAAAATAATTTTTAGGCTGGTTTCTCAAAGAATATAAATTATTAATTTACAATTTATCTGAACCTGCTTAGTCTTTTCTTTCTTTTTTTTTTTATTCTCCAGAT